AGTTTACAAATCTCTGCCTATGTGAAAGAATATCTTTTTAACCTTTCTCCACCATATCTGTTTCCTGACCTAGACTGTTGTTACTTTTTAATTATAATTGATTCATAGTCTGCCCTTATATACATAGATCAGTAACTTTTTGCCTGGTGCCTATATGAATAGGAGAGAAACATGTGCATTTAACTCTCTTCCTTTCTCTTTTCTCCCCCTGCAGGTCAAGTGGTTCTGACTGAGGTCCGGCTCACATCAGCCCAGCGGGGACTTTCCCCCACAGCCTCCTGGGTGGAGACTTGCTCATGTCCCAATGGGTATGCAGGGCAGTTTTGTGAATCTTGTGCTCCCGGATACAAGAGGGAGACACCAATGGGGGGTCCTTACTCAAACTGTGTCCCCTGTACCTGCAACCAGCATGGCACCTGTGACCCCAACTCAGGTGAGCCTCCCCAGCAGCCCCATCTTAAGGCTACCTGGATACACACAGAAGTGCAGGATGCATACTGACCTGAACATGGTCAGCCTGACATTGGCACTGGGGTGTTTGACACTGGACCACCCTTGAGTTGCTGCCTGGGCATCTTGTATTTCAACAAACGTAGTGATTGGAATTGATTTAAGTGTTAGGCATGCTCTGTGCTAAGGATTTTGTGTGCAGGCTTTCAACTCTTCATGTGACCCTGTGACCTAAGGGAATTATTCACATTTTGAAGCACTAAAAGGTCAAGAAAATGACTTGTTAACTCAAGCTTAGGGTGTAATAGCCAAAATGAATAGGTTCTTGCTATGTTCCAGGCTTCCCACTGACTCTTCATTTTGTCCCGATTGGCTGTTGATACCCTCCATGTTTACAGATCCTGCCCAGTAGCACCAACCTGAGTCTTAAGGTGATCTCTCTGCAGGCTGCCCTTTCTGAGTCCACTCTCTGTCCACCTGTTAGGGAAGGTCTCAGAACAGACCAGAAAATGACCTTACGGGGATCCTGCCACACAAGGTGGTGCTGTAAGAAACAGGAGGCAAGTGATGGCAGGAAGACTCTTGTAAGGGTTACATAGCACATAGGGGTCAACATAGAGCCAGAGACCTGCCACCCACACTTTAGTGGCTTGCAGCCCTGGGGACATCACTCCTCTCCCGAGCCTGCTTCCTCGTTTGTACACTGAGGATAAAAATAGTATAGATATCACTGAGATTATCGACAGATAGACCAGGTTTGCACCAATGCTCAGCCATTGCTAACTGGATGAGTCTTAGGGTCTTTAACCTGAAAAACGCAGGCAATGAAAATCACTCCCTTACAGGTCCAGCGGGGGGAATCCAAACTGGTGGATGTATACGGAGATGCTTTGTACACATCTGAGTGATCACTAATGACAACACTAATGAAATAATGTCATTGTGATCTTTATATATTGCACCACTGAATTCTTAGGAACCATTGTCCTTGTTCATTGGTGAGGGAGCTATGGTGCAGAGAGATTCTGTGGCCACTAGGTGGCAGAGCTTCTCTTCCATCCATCATCCCACTTGCAGCTGACAGTTCAGAAGAACTTGCCTAAAGGTCCTGTCATCTGGAGGTGCTGAACCCGCTGGGGCATGGGCCTCTTTCCACCCCCAACTCCATTTGCCCCCTCACAGCACCATGCAAGAGGCTCAGAGAGTATGTGTCAGTCTTTGCTCTCCCACAGCAAGCGTGGTCTCAGAAGGGAAATGTCTGCTCTGCAGTTGGCAAGGACTCTGGCTAGGAGTCTGCACACCTGATCTGGGAGGGCAAGCACATGCATCTGTGATGTCAGACATCACTAATCAAGCCTAGAAGAAGCTCCCCAATCCTCCTGTTGATTCAATTACACATTTTGGGATACAAAACAGCAGTGATGACAATAATAATTATTATGTGGGCTAGTAACGATGCACAACATTTTGAATGCATGTGCTCATTGAATCCCGAGCCCTTTCTTTGAGATCAGACTGGTTCTTGTACCCATTTTGAGGGTGAGGACACTGAGCTGCAGAAAGGCTAGACAATTTCCCCAGGTGCACACAGTCAGTAACTGATGGCTCTGTTCTGGGTTTTCTATCCCTGAGCCTACTTTAATTCTACCTTGAAAGGATTCCCATCCCATTTCTGCCTGAGATGTGCCCCCTGACCTCTCCACTGAGGCTCTGGAGGAATAAGGGGTCTCTTCTCCCACTTTGCCTGCTGTCTCTGAGGTGTTTGGGCCCAGGCACTGGTAACCAGGTACTTGTCTTACTCCTCAGGGACCTGCTTGTGTGGCCACCACACTGAGGGCCCATCCTGTGAGCACTGCCTGCCAGGTTTCTATGGCAACCCCTTTGCAGGTCAAGCTGATGATTGCCAGCCCTGTCCATGCCCTGGGCAGTCGGCCTGCACAACCATCCCAGAGAGCATGGAGGTGGTATGCACCCACTGCCCCCGAGGCCAGAAAGGTAAGTGCCTTGTACTCAGGGATGCTGCCCTGTGTGAACGCCAAACACTGATAACCTGACTCTGCCTTGGGCTCCAGCGGTGTGGCAGGTGGGGGTGGCAGGCCTGACTTCTTGGGGCACTTGAGTCCCATAGTCAAATGCCCTGGGCTACTGGGGATTCCAGGACTGAGCACATCTAGTTGTGACTTTTGGATCCAGGGACATTGTTGTTGTTAAGTGCTGTCGAGTCGATTCTAACCCATAGCGACCCTGTATAGGGTTTATGAGGAGCAGCTGGTAAGCTTGAACCACTGACCTTGCAGTTCAAATGGCTTTACAGTCTGGTGCATTAACCCACAGCACCACACCAGGCCTCCTGGGGTCTATAAAACAAACCATGACCCTGTGGCCCTCCCCTCGGCCACACCTTAGAACTAACTCATAGGTAAGCTTTTAAAAGTACCCATGTTGGGAGGCAGAGATGAGGACATGAAGAGATACAGCAGCTGAGGACTCTAGACTCATGGAAAGAGAAAGGCTGTGTGCTGGCAGCCAGGAGACAGGCTTGCAGAATGTGCCCTTTGGTTGTTTAAATGATTATATATATATTCCTGAGTGTTTTTATATACATCCTCAAAAAACAAAAAAAGCAGAGGGAATAGAAGCGAATAGAAGCAAATACCGCAGAATGATGATGCACGGAGGGGATTGTAATCATTGCAATGAAATGACATACGATAGGATGAATGTAAAGCTGATGTTCTCCGATGTAAACTATCATTCAATTCACAATAAAAACTTTAAAAAAAAGAAGTACCAATATTGGTATCTAGGAATGTGATGGAACACACAGAGAGCAGAATGATGAAAACTTCTTAGACATCACCAAACACCTTAAAGGAATGAGTTGCTGGGCCTGTGGCTCAGGACCACAGTCTCGAGGTATACTGTGGTCTATTGGCATAGCGAAGTCCACAAAGACAATGTTCTACATCCTACTTGGCTGAGTAGTGACTGGGATCTTACAAGCTTGTGAGCAGCCATCTCAGTGTAACTGTTGGTCTCTTCCTGCCCGGAGAAAAGCAGAGTGATAAAAATTGAAGATGCTTGGAAACAATTCATTCAGTAGACTCATGGACCATGGAAGCATCAGTCTCCAGGACTCTGAGACCAGAAGAACTAGATGGTGCCCGGCTACCACTATCAACTGCTCTAAAGGGATCACATTAGAGAGTCCCAGATAGAGTGGAAGAAAATGTGAAACAAAACCCAAAATCATCAAAAAGACCAGACTTACTGGTCATATAGAGACTGGTGGGAGCCCCCAGACTATGGCCCTTGGTCACACTTCAGGTTTGGAACTGAGCTCACCTCTGTGGCTCAATTTTCAGCCAAGTAGTAGGTAAGGATGTATATAGGGGAGACAACAACACTAGTGAGGTATGCACACCACAGAGTGGTCAACCATTTAAGATCCAGTGGGCACTATTTACCTAAGGACAAAATTCAGAAGTGTGGAGAAAGCAGGAGGAATGGAAACAAGGAATACAGGAACACAGGCAGCAAGTGGGATAACTGATGCTACATGGAGGGGATTGCAATCAAGGAGATGAAATGAAGTGTGTGATTTGTTGAATGTAAAACTATAAACTTTCACTGAAGTCACAATTTGTTGTTGTTGTTAAGTGCCATCGAGTCGATTCTGACCCATAGTGACCCTGTATAGGGTTTCCAAGGAGCGGCTGGTGAGCTTGAACCACTGACCTTGTGGTTCAAATGACTTTGCAGTCTGATGCATTAGCTCACAGTGCCACACCAGGACTCCCAATTGACAATTGGAAGTTGTTTTTTGTTTTTGTTTGTTTTTTAATACCTACCTTGGGTGCCCATCACGTAGGACCTGACTTAGTAGAGTGGGATGGAGTTCAGGAGCCTGTATTCCTAACAACTTCCCAGGGTGATTCTGATCCATAGTTAGGTATACAACCTCCAATTAAACTTTCAGCTTTAAAAAAATCATCAAATAATGTGCGAAACAGAAATCCCCCTCTCAAGCTTCTTCTCGATCCTCATTCCTGCTCCAGGGCTCAGAGGCATGTAGACAGGTTGATTTTACATTGTGTGCCTGTGGCTGCCTCAGAACAGCCCATTAAATCTATCCTGCCTGATGCCCAGCTTCACAGACAACAGCTCTGGAAGCAACCCCTGGCAATCTCAGTCCCCATCTTGCTATCACAGAGCTCCCCCATATTCCATAGCCTGCCCCTGCACCTGCTCTTCCACACACAGCCTTCTCCTTCCTCAGGGCGCCGCTGTGAGATGTGTGATGATGGCTTTTTTGGGGACCCACTGGGGCTCTCTGGGCCCCCACAGCCCTGCCACCTATGCCAGTGCAATGGAAACATCGATCCCAATGCCGTAGGCAATTGTGACCCCCGATCTGGTCGCTGCCTGCGCTGCCTCTATAACACAACGGGGGACCACTGTGAGCACTGTCAGGAGGGCTTCTATGGGAGCGCCCTGGCCCTACGGCCTGCAGACAAGTGTGTGCGTGAGTATCCACTGGTCAGGCCCACGGGGTGGGTGGGACATGGTGGTCTCCTCCTCTGCCCTGCCTCTGGGCTTAGATAGAGTGACCAGAGAACCCTCGGGTTACTTGTCATCACTGTTTCCAAATCCAGAAGGATAAGACTCTCTCAACCTTGAGATCCTATTAACTGATTTTATTGTGTCATTTTCTCCTGCCTTGATCATTTAACTCCACATTTAACACACAAGACGGTCCCACACGTAAGCCCTCATCCTATTTGGTCTTCAAATCCAACTGTGCCCCACCCCCAGGACACTCTTCCTCTTCCCCACTCCCCGCTGTCTGTTTTACCACTCAGCCCTTGGACCTCCTCAGAACCACAGCACCCTCAGCCTCTCAGAGGCTCTCAGGAGCCCTGTGGGACAGACACTCAGTATTGGCCCAGAATCCTCAGAGCCCTTTCCCCACATAACATCTGTCAGCATCCTGTTGACCTCTGGTTTTGTGGAACCCCCTCCTGGGAATGCTGTGTAGCCCCAGAGCTACGTGCTGCTCTTGGGTCATGTGACCCAAAACAGTGGCTGTGGAGGGTCCACTGGTGACCCCTGACAAAGCCAGCAGTGAGGGCAAGGTCTTCTGTCCCACCTGTAAGGACTCAGGACAGGTTTGGTAGGGACTGCCGTAAGCATTCTGCCATGAGTATTCTGGGCTGTCTCCTCAAGGATGGAGAAAATGGACTGAGATGAGTGTCCGGACGGGAGGCATCTCTGTGGATTCCCTTAGCCTCTCTGCCTCCACACATCCAATTGATGAGCTCCCTTGTTCTTAACTCTCACTCTCCTTGCCTCCCTAGCCTGTAGCTGCACCCCAAGGGGCTCGCTCAGTGAGAAGACACCCTGCCACCCAGTGACTGGCCAATGCCCTTGCCTGCCTCACGTGACTGGACGGGATTGCGGCCACTGCAGCCCTGGTTTCTATGATCTCCAGCCCGGGAGGGGCTGCCAGAGGTGAGTGGAGTGAGGCTGTAGGTGTCCCTGCTCCTGGGTGTCTGCTAAACTGGAAGAAGGAGTCAAGGAACCCCCAGGAAGGGGTCTGATTTGGAAAGTGTCACCCCAGGCCCACTGCCAGGTACACTGTGCCCTTCACCAAAGGGGAACGAAAGGACAGTCCCTTGGGGTCAGACTGAAGGCCCTGCCAACCCAGGACTCTGGCCAAGAGCAGCCCTAAGGGATAGCCAGGTATGCAGGTGGCTGGTTTGGTCACGGGGCTGACGTTTTGTCCACAACACTTTAGACAAGTGTCTTCAGGGAAGAGTGGAGGACTCCCAAGGCAAAGTCAAGTGAAGCAAACAGCTTTCTTCCTTGCAGGACAGCTCAGAGCCTTCCATATGCTAATTGTATCACGATTCTCCAAGAAAGCAAGTAACTCACATAGCCTTTATTTTGCTTGCAAGCATCTTTGCTTCTCGGAGCATGGCTTGGGGAAGTTGCTTCACATGTACCGCCATTAAAATGGGCCCTGCCAGCTGAGGCCCACACAAGACGGTGGGCTGGGAGACAGCCCAGAGCTCGCCTCAGACCCAGTTTCTGTCCCTTTTCACAGCTGCAAGTGTCACCCAGTAGGCTCCCAGAAGGGCCAGTGCCATCCCAAGACCGGACAGTGTCCCTGCCGCCCAGGCGTCGGGGGCCAGGCCTGTGACAGATGCCTGGAGGGCTTCTTCGGCTTCTCAGCCAAGGGCTGTCGAGGTAGGCAGGGGTCCTTTGTAAGGTGCTGTGGCTGCAGAGGGCAGGAGGGAGGCTGCCTGGAAGTTGGGGCCTGGAGGTTTCATGGTAGAGGATGGAGGGGGAAAGTCCTGTACAGCAGGAAAGAGAAGCTTAGACTCCGAATATGGTCATGAGTACCTGCAGTGAGTGAGAGCCCAGGGTCCCTATGGTGGTCTACACATCTAGTCCCAGATGCCGGCTCGATTTCTGTGTGCCTGTCCAGTGTCCGCTTCCTCATTTGTACGGTTGGTTGGTTGGCCTGCAGTGGCACTTTCTGAATCATATTGGCCCTAAGATGCCCCCTCCCTTCCTGCATCATGGGGCATGTTCAAATAAGTCATGTTAGGTTCTCAGTCTTCAATTCCCACTTTCTGAATCCAGATCTTGCTGGAGAGGCCCAAGGGCTTCTGGGAAACAGCCAAGTATGAGAATTTAGAGGGGCAGCCTAAAGGATACAGGGGATCTGCTTAGCCCAGGGCACCCAGCACCCTCTGCCATGGTCTCCGCAGCCTGCAAGTGCTCCCCTCTGGGCGCCGCCTCTGCCCAGTGCCACGAGAACAGCACGTGTGTGTGTAGGCCTGGCTTCGTGGGCTACAAGTGTGACCGCTGCCAGGACAACTTCTTCCTCACAGCTGACAGTTTGCATTGTCAGGAGTGCCCACCCTGCTACACCCTGGTTAAGGAGGAGGTGAGTCCCTCAACCTCCCCCACCCAGTTCTGCCTTTCTGCACCTGTGCTGTGTCCACGTCCCCTCCTCCCATGCCTGTTGCAGCCCAGCTCTACCCCTTACTTGCTCTTCCCTGGCCCCTGGGTCCTTCCCTAGGTCCGGGTCTCTTGTTTTCTCAGGTTCATGGGAATGCAGAGGGTCAGGAAGAAGACGACACTCTAGGGGACAAGTAGAAATTCAAGCAAGGGAAAAGTGTGGTGTAGGGCCGGGGTGTAACTCTGGGTTAGCCCTTCTTCGTCCAGCCTTACTAGCTGTCAGCTTTGGTAGTGCTTTACATGAAGCTCGTGATATTGTGAAGTGCAATCAAGTTGGTTCAAACTCATAGCAACCCTATATGGGGTTTCTAAGGAGTGGCTGGTGGATTCGAACTGCCAACCTTGTGGTTAGCAGTCCAGTGCTTATCCTACAGTACCACACCAAAACTCCTGAAGCTGTTGATAGTACCTAGTACCTGAAATCAGTGGGTTGGGTGTGCTTGGGAATTCAGATGTGTAAACATAGATGTTGTTATTGTTAAGTGCTATCGAGTTGATTCTGACTCATAACAACCCTGTACAGGGTTTCCAAGGAGCGACTGGTGGGTTTGAACCTTGTGGTTAGCAGCCCAATGCTTATCCTGTAGCACCACACCATGGAATTCACACACATATACACACACACACATGAAGGTGAGTCAGAAATTATCCACACTGTGGTTGTATTAAAAGCCTGTCCACATCCATGGCTGATGACAACATTGAGCATGCATGTGAAATGATTCAGTCGAATAGAAGAGTGACAGTGAATTATGAGGCAAATCATTTGTAAATCAGTCATGGCTCCGCCTATGAAATAATCCATGACAGATTTGGGTTTTGAAAAGTTTGTATGAGCTGGCTACTGAAACAGCTCACGGAAGAACATATATAGAAACGTTTGGACATCTGCTAACAAAATTTGGACTGATATGCCAAGAAAGGTAAACGTTTCTTTAAAAAAAAAATAGTTAATGGTGACGAGACATGGATTCATTACTACGAGCCTGAAAGTAAACATCAGAGTATGGGTTGGAAACATCCTCAATTGCTGACCAAGAAAAAGTTCAAAAGTCACCCAACAGCTGGAAAATTGATGCTTATAGTTTTCTGGGATTCTCAAGGACTAGCGTTGGAACTATCGAGAACAAGTTTCAACAGTCAACAGTGCTCCTTACAGTGAGATGCTCACTGACTTCGGATGCAATGCAGAGAACTGGTAGGTTTGAACTTGGCTCTGTCCCAGGTGTTGAACAGTTAGCAGTCAAGTGCTTATCCTCAGGGTAATTTTCTTTACTTAGAGTCACCTAATTGTAATGTTCATCACATATACAAAATAGCTTCACTACAACATCTAGACTAATATTTGACCAGACAACTAGGCACCATAGCCTAGCCAAGTTGACACCTAAGATTCACCTTCACACTTCCAACAGCATCCTCCCCTAATCAAACCCACTGCTGGTTCTGCAGGAAAATATGAGTAGCCTAGTTTCAGAACAGATTTTGCTTCCGGATGAGTTCAGGTCAGGTCAGATGGTTGTTGTCTCATAAAGAACAGAAGGGACCTGTGGCCCCTCCTGCTTAGAGTTGCCACAAAGTGATGGGCATTTGTACCACAGCTGGTTCTTAGCAAACCTTCCATAATGCAACATTGTGCTGATGATTAAAAGACATTGCAAAGCACACTGGATCAGCCAGCCAGCATCCACTGAGCATCTGCTCTATGTGTCTACACTGGGAGGACAGTGACCAGGCAGGCAGAAATCCTTAGGGGCTCCCATCTCTGTTGCTCCCTCCCTCCCTCCCACCTTTCCACCCCACATCCTCACCCTCACCCTCCGTAGGACAGAAGTGTAAGTGCAAAGATGAACATGAGAAAGGAAGGGTAGGAGGTGAGGTGTGGAGAGGTGAGGTGTGGAGGTAAGGTATGGTCCTTAGCTTTGAAGCCCAGGGTAGAATTTGCAAAGGGAGCTTCTGGGGAGGTCTGGCCAGGCAGAAGCTGGGTGAGAGGAGGGTCCCCAATCTCACACACCTTTCTTTTCCTGTCCCCTCCAGGCTGCCAAGCTGAAGGCCAAGCTGATCCTGATGGAGGGGTGGCTGCAGGGGTCTGGCTGTGGCACTCCCTGGGGACCATTGGACATTCTTCAGGGAGAGGCCCCACGGGGAGATGCCTACCAGAGCTATCACCCACTGCAAGGTATGCAGGAAAGTGAAGGGAAGACCAAGAGGGAAACTAAGAAAGGCCTGGCCGGTCAGACTCTCCCAGGGAACTCTTCAGTTTCGTCTTGTCTAGATCTGTGAGGGCCCTGTACTCCTTTAACAGCTCAGCAGGAGAACTTGCTTGCTTGGAAAGCGGGTCTTTACCCCCCTGGTTAGTGGGCTCCTCTGGTGATACAGTCCAATTCCCCCACAGACCTCTCCTTAATGTCCCTACCCCAGCTGAAGCTTTGTGAATGCCAGTCTTTGACTACAGCATTGATCCCCGAGCCCTTCTGCTCCAACCAGAGTGTAAACTCAGGGAGGCCGGGGGTTGGGTTCATTCATTTATTCATTCATCCAACAAATTCTTTTTGAGGCTTTGTCCCAGGTGTTGAACAGTGAGAGTCTTACTGCCTTCATGTGTTGTTTTGTTCACTGCCATAATGCTGTACAGTGCTTGGCATGTAGAAAATAAATGAATAAATTATTTTTGTTTATTTATTTTAAGCTCTTCATTGTGAATTGAGTGAAAGTTTACAGAGCAGATCATCAGTTTTACACCCATCAAATCACACACTTTGCTTCATTACGATGATTGCAGTCCCCTCCATGTACCAACAGTTAGCAGTACTTATCTCTATTCAGTTTAACATTGCATTCTTCCCTGAGTCTACCACTGGCTTCATCTTTCCTCTGCCAGCCTCCCTCTTGCAGTATATGGCCTGCCCTATTACCCATGTTGGAGTCCTGGTATGGTGCAGTGGCTTAATGCACTAGATTGCAAAGTTGGTTTGAACCGCAAGGTCAGCAGTTCAAACTCCACAGCTGTCCCTCAGAAACCCTATACAGGGTTGCTACAGGTTGAAACTGACTCAGCAGCACTTAACAATAGCAACAATAATCATCTATGTTAACATGTGTCTACCCTCTAGTTTGTGAATAAAATTACCTCCTCGCTCACCCCTTTATCATCATTTGTTGTTGTTAAGTGCCTTTGAGTCGGTTCCAACTCATAGTGACCCTGTATAGTGTTTTCAGGGAGCAGCTGGTGAGCTTGAACTGCCGACCTTGCAGTTCAAATGGCTTTGCAATCTGGCGCATTAACCCACAGTGCCACACCAGGACTCCTAACTATCATAGATGGTTTATTTTATTAAGAAAGCGCTTTCTTAACTTTTTACAATGGTGGTTTCATGCAATAGTTGTCCTTTTGTGATTGACTAATCTCATTCAGCGTAATGTCCTCCAGGTTCATCCATGTCGTGAGATGTTTTGCAGATTTGTCCTTAGTCTTCAAAGTTGCATAGTATTCCACTGTATGTATGTTTCCGAAGTTTGTTTAACCATTCTGTTGGTGGGCATTTAGGCTGTCTCTATTGTTTCTATGTGTCTCTTATAGACAGAATATTGAGGGATCCTGTTTTCTTATCCATTCTGCTCTCTTAGTCTCAAGAGAGTAAATTATTTTACTTTCGTTTTTAAAAAGGAGAGCTCCTATAACTAAAGCCAAGTGGCTGGAATTTTTGTCTTTGAGCACTGAAATTTAGAGGCATTAAAAAGTGAATTGAATCTTTTGTGAAATGTTACATAAGCACCTGAATTTCTGGTGTGGTGCTGTAGGATAAGCACTTGACTGCTAACCACAAGGTTCAGACCCACCAGCTGCTCCTCAGAAACCCTGTACAGGGTCGTTCTGAGTCAGAACTGACTCTGCACTTAACAACATACTCCATTAGCAGCCAGTCACAGCACTGATTAGCAGAAATCACTTCAAAATCGGGAACAATCAGATGTTGTTAAGTGCTGTCCAGTAGGGTCTGACTCATAACAACTCTGTATGAGGTTTCCAAGGAGTGACTGGTGGGTTAGCAGTCCAGTGCCACACCAGGACTCCACAATCCTCTTTAAAATGCTCAGCTGTGAATTACATTGTAAATTACAAAAAACAAAAACAAACCTAACTCACTGCAGAGTTTTCCTGCTGCCTCAGTTTCAAGAATTGTTTGTAATGATCGTAGAAAGCCTGCGTTCCTTCCACACCCTTGTCCTGCAAGACCTTGGGTCCTGATTTGCCTTCTCTGGCCCTCCGACTCTGCATCTGTAAAATAGGGAGCCTTTGGCTTTGGAATTCCAAGTGCTCAGGGCTGGCCATGGGGTTAAGCTGTGCTCGGGAAAAGGGAGGTGGACACAGATGGGCATCCCTGGCATGGGTTTTTGATGTGAAATCTGGGCCACTGTATGTCTTGCAGGGTCCCAGGAAGCCTTCCTGGAGCAGATGAGAGACCTGGAGGGTTCTGTGAAAGCTGCACGGAAGCATCTGTGGGTGCTGAGCAAGATTGCCCGCTGTGGCCAGGCCAGAGCTGAGAAGACCTGCGTCCAGCTGGCCAATCTTGTGACAGTGCTGGAGTCTTCCGAGGAGGAAATTCTGCACGCAGCCTCAGTGCTCTCATCTCTGGTACCCCAGGGCTCCCCGTCCCCCAACCCTCACCACTGAGTTGGGCCAATGGAAGGGACTCTGGACAGTGTAGTGGAAGACTAGGTCCTTGCCCACACCTGTTGTTGACTTGGTAACCTTAGTCTTATCACTCCCTTGCCTGAGGCTCACTTTCCTTAGAGTCTCCTGCATTGCTTCAGGGAGGTAATCTGCACAGAATGAGCACATTTTGGGTCAACAGTGGGTATTGAGTAAGTGGTTGGACCATTACCATTATGTCCACATTCCAGGACCTCTACTCACTGTGGGTCATTTATAAAATGACTGACATTGTCTACTTGGGTCCATGGTGGTGGTTATGTGCCGTGGAGTTGGTTCCAACTCATAGCAATGCTGTACAGGGTTTCCGAGGCTGTAAATCTTTACGGGAGCAGAAATCCTCATCTTTCTTCCGTGGAACAGCTGGTAGTTTCGAACTGCTGACCTTGAGGTTCGTAGTAATAACTACACTAATAGTCAATTTCTTCCTCTTTTCCTTTTTCTCTAAAGGTGATTCCTCAGAAAGGACCCAGCCAGCTCACCAACTGGAGCCAGCAGGCCACAGAGGCACGAACTCTAGCTAGAAGGTGAGTCCCAAGGCCCCGGCAAGTGATGAAGGAACCAGAGGGGGAGCTTCAGGTCAGGGTCAGTCATATATACCCCTTTCAGGGAGTTGGAATCAGATGAGTACAAGAGCTTTCTGGTAGAAGTTGCTCTGAAAGGGATCACATTCAAAGGTCCAGGATAGAGGAGAAGAAAAATGTGCAACAAAACTCAAAATCATGAAAAGACTTACTGGTCAGCTAGAAACTGGTAGAACCCCTGAGACTATGGCCTTTAGCTCTCTTCAGGTCTGGAACTAAATGCACCCCATGGATCAGTTTTCAGCCAAACAATAGACAGGTCTACAGGGAACAGTGGAGTCCTGGTGTGGTTCTGTTGGATCAGTACTAGACAGCTATCCACAATGTTAGTCGTTCAAACCTGCCAGTTGCTCCTTGGAAACCCTACCACAGGATCGCTATGAGTCAGAACCAGCTCAGTGGTATTTAGCAACAACAACAACAACAACAAGGGGAACAGTGTACTCCTCAGAACAATCAATCATTTGAGATCAAAAGGGCAGCACTTACCCATGAACAAAGTTCAAAAGGGTTAGGACAGTAGGCATGGAAAGGGAAAACAGGCATGCAGAAGGATAAAAAAAAGTCACAGTGTGGGGATTGCAATCAATGACATAAAACATAATGTGTATGAATTGTTGAATGGAAAACTGATTTGCTTTGTAAATCTCCACCCAATTCACAATAAAAAGTTTTTTAAAAAAGAAGAGAAAGAAAAGCTTCCTGGTAGAGGGAAATGTCACCAGTTTGGGAAGCAGAGGTATATGGAGGCAGAGTAAGCCCAGAGACTCTTTGGGATGGGTAATGGCTCAAGTGGGGTGAGGTTGACTGCCTGTTTTTTTTAAATAGCTTTGTTGAGATAATATTAACACACCTTGCAATTCATCTGTTTGAAATATATAATGTAATGGCTTATAAGTATATTCAGAGTTCTCTATGAATTTGCTTAGAATTTAAATGGAATCATTTTTGACTGGCCCCTTTCACATACCATACTGTTTACCTGTAAATTGCTATATATTGTAGCAGGAATCAGAAAGTCTTTCTTTTTGATGGCCAAGCAATACTCTATTGTGGAGTCCTGGTGTGGTGCTGTAGCCCTTGACCTCAAGTTTGCTTTGAAATGCAAAGTCGATGGCTCAAACTTTCGAGCTGCTCCTCGGAAACCCCATACAGGATTGCTGTGAGTTGGAACTGATTCCATGGCACAGAACAACAACAATATTCCATTGTATGCATAATATCACATTTTGTTTCCTCATTCATTAACTGTACGATAAGCACTGGACTGCTAACCATAGGTTGGTAACTCAAACTTACCAACTACTCCTCAGAAACCCTGTACATACAGGGTTGCTATGAATCGGAACCACCTTGTTGGCACTCAACAACTTTTCATTAGTTGCAGGACAACTTGGGTTGTTACACCCACTGCCTTTAAAAAGAAGCAGTTCATGACTCTAAGAGCACAACTACAGCAGTTATCCCCTTAGCTGTACTCCAGGATCTTAGCTTCAGGAGGGAACAGACTCAGAGACGTTAGGTTACTTGCTTAAGGACACACAGCTTGCAAGTGATAGAACCAGGATTCAAACCCAGGCTGCCATATCCTGTCTCTCTTTTATGCTGTCTTTCTTAGGGTGACTGTATAATTCATTGTCCAAACTGGGATGGTTTTACATGTGGAAAAGGGCCTAGTGTTCATTATGCCAGTACAAAAGCATAAATTACAGAGACAGGGGCATGTGGCCCCCTTTCCCGAGGTGTCGGGCTTAGAGGTAGAGAAGGAGCCCCAGACCTTTACTTGAGTTAGAACAGCAAGAAGCCCACACAGACAGGAGTGTGGGCTTGAGCCCCAGTCCTCTTATTGTGAGAGTTCCCGGTGATGGTCAGGTGGATATTTTCACACAGCCACTGGGACATCGCTACCAAGATCGAGACCGCTGCACGACGTGCCCTGCTCGCCTCCAACACCAGTTACACGCTCCTCTGGAATCTGGCAGAGGGCAGAGTGGCCATGGAGACCCAGCAGGAACTGGAGAACAGGTGAGACTTCCCTAGGTGGGTGCAGAAGCTGCGGGTTGGCTCCTTGGAGCCGACAGGATCTGGCCAGAGCCTGCTGGTTCTAGAATCAACTTCTTTCCCTGTGTCCTTGATGCTCTTGGTGTTTGGTGGGGATGTCTGGGGCTGCATCCCACTCAGGGTGGAACCATGGGATCTTGGACCCTCATGGTGGTGAGTTACAGGAACCCTCTTATGCCTGAAGAATGCAGCTCAGACTTGAAGAGATGGAACAAGAACTACACAGGCAGGGCCCAAAGCAGGGAACCCCTTTTTCTCCCCTTGGCAGTATCCCTCAAGCTGTACCCTAAGGCATCTCCTCTTAGCTTTTTCTGGCACTCTTCCTTGCCTCTGTAACTAAGTTGTTCTGCTTCTCTGCTCTGGGTGGCCCCTATCAGTTCAAAATCAAAGCACCAATGTCTCTGAGCCCCAGGTTGACCTTCCTGAGAGAATCTGATTGGTCTAGCTCAGATCAGGTGTTCAGCCCTGAGCGAATTGGCCTGGCTAGGGGAAGGTTACAGGACCCCCTGCAGGGGCAGTGATACTCTCTAAGAAGCTGTGAAGGATAGGAAGGAAGCTGGAGGGCTTCACCCCAGCTGTCCTCCTGGTATGGACAGCTGGATAGGACAGGAACCTGTTCTAATTGGTTGGTTTCTAAACTACAGGTCATCAGGGCTAAAGGTTCTCCAGTTTATGGGTGGAAAGTGACATGCCCAAGGTCACACTGCAAGGGCAAGACCAGGACCTGGATCCTGTTCCTTAGCTTAAGCCCATATAGCCCTTCCCTGCCCCCATTTTCCTTTTCACGATTCATCCAGAAGAGCCAACCAATTGCCAAATGTGTGATTCCCAAGTGGAACTGGAGTGTGAGACTTTTCCGAATGGTGTGATTGAATTGCCTGAATTGAGAAAGAAGTGGCCCTTCACTGCTTCTTGTGTTCATTTGAAAGCTGCGGAGCAGTAGCCAGTTTCCGAGGCCAGCTGCTGGCTACCAACCCTGCAGAGAGACTGTGCCAGAGAAGTTGGGAGAACTCCAACCCTGGGCTGAGGGGAAGAATGGCCCTCTGCCCTACGCTGTGGGCCACCCTGCCTCTCTCCTCCCAGGTACCAGGAGGTCCAGGAGGCCCAGAGGGCGCTGGGTGAAGCTGTGGCAGAGGTGCTGCCTGATGCCAAGAGGGTGCTGGCCTCCGTTCGGCAAGTTGGCACAGACGGAGCTCCAAGCCTGGCCTCGCTGTCTACCCTGGGGACACTGGTCAGCTCCACCTCTTCAAAGCTCTGTCTGGGATCAGGGTGGGGATCTGGCAGCTAAGAAATCAGTAGGGCCCAGCCAGAGGTAGATGACTTTGTTTATTATTTTTATTAGACTTTAAATGTTTAGAGCAGTTTTAGATTTATAGGAAAATGGAGCAGAAAGTATTACGAGTTCCCACATACCTTCTCTGCCCCTGCACAGAGTTTCTCCTAGTATTATCACATCTTGTGTTGGTGTGTCCATTTGTTATCAATACATCATATAAACTGAAGTCTACTTTAAGTAAAGTCTTCACCACTCTCTCTATCATATAGCCCAGTGCTTAACTTGCAGTGTCACAACAGGACTTCATCTCTATAGTTTTGCCTTTTCAACTCATGTAGTTTGATGTGGCTTGTTTAAATGGACTAAAGCGTCAATTAAAATGAGATTATTTTAAAAAAATGAGATTATCTACCTACAGAGCTCAGCCAGTCTTTGTTGTCCATAATGACATTGAGCCAGGGGCCTCTCTCTTCTACATTGTACTGGCCTTAGCAGAGGTACCAGCACCGAGTGGCCGAGTCAGGCCTCACCCCTCCCTCTTCAGCTCTGAGACCTTGGCTGTGCCTTTCCCATCCTGACCCTCAGTTACTCGGTCTGTCATATGGGGCTTGCCTATTTGCTACTCCAGTATGGTGCTGTAAGATAAGCACTGGATTACTAACCACAAAGTCAACAGTTCAAACTCACCAGCCCCTCCTTAGAAACCCTGTACAGGGTCACTATGAGTTGGAACCAGTTTGGCACCACTTAACACCACTACCACCATCGTGAAGGAGTCCTGGTGTGGTGCTGTAGGATAAGCACTGGACTACTAGCCACAAGGTCAACAGTTCAAACCCACCAGCTGCTCTTCAGAAACCCTATTTAGGGTCATTATGAGTCGGAACTAAACAACAACCATGGAGATGAAGGTGTTCTGGTTGTGCAAGGGTTAAGCATTGGACTGCTAAATCAAAGGTCGGTGGTTGGAACTCACCAGCTCTCCTAGGGAGAAAGATGAGGTAATCTGCTTCCATGAAGAGGTACAGCCTCGGAAATACTTTGGAGCAGATCTACCCCATTCCATAGGGGCGCTGTGAGCCAAAATTGACCTGATAGCAGTGGGGTAGGTTTGAACTGTGGTGGTGGGCATTCAGCTGGGCTCTGGTATAGGGTGACCTCATGCTTGTTGGTGTCTCATGTCCTCTGACCACCAGGAGACAAGTCAGGCCCATCATCCCTCTCAGTCATCCTGGAATCCCAGGAAAACTGAACTTTAAGAAAAGACTAAGCTTGATAGAAGTCCCTGGGTGGAACAAACAATCAGTGCACTCAACTACTAGCTGAAGTGTTGGTGGTTTCAGTCCACTGAGAGGCACTTCCGAAGAAAGGCCTGGTGATCTGCTTCTAAAAAAATCAGCCACTGAACCATTGGAAATCCTAGAGAGCACAGTTCTGTCCTGACGCACACGAGGTGGCCGTGAGTCAGAATTTGACTTGATGGCAACTTGTTACTGGTTAAGCTTGTTACAAAAGCATTTGGGCAAAACAACCCTGACTGACTGGCCTAAGATTAGTTCTTCATGGTCTTTGCTTCTCCCATGGCATGCAAAGAGTAATACCCTCAAATATTAGTGTGTTTGTTCCCAGTTACCCTAGATCCTTCTGAGGCTGTGCAAATAATATGCAGTACCTGCATAGCCCTGCTTCTCTAACCTCCAGAAAGTCTGAATTCTGAAGTATGAGAGGGCTTCAAAAAGTGTAGGGAAGAATTCCATTTTCTTTTAATTCCATTTTTCCATGAAATTTTAAAGCCCCCTCATATTGGAATCCTGGTGTGGTGCTGTAGGTTAGTTAATGCACTGAACTGCAAACTTGATTTGAACATCAAGGTCAGCAGTTCAAGCTTAACAGCACTCCTCAGAAACCCTGTACAGGGTCACTCTGTGTCTGAACTGACTCGACAGCACTTAACAACAACATCTATTTGGCCCACGGTTTCAACCGAGGAATTGTGGATCTGGGCAAGGAGGCTTCCTTTGCAATGAGGGACCTGCAGCCCAACTTCCCTAAGCCACACAGCTAGAAACTGATGGCACTGGATTCTGAGTTTAAAGTGACAGGCTCCCCAGTTGGTCTCTCTAGCCCTGGCTCCTCCGCCTCCTGAGTCCACATGCAGCCCTCTCCCCAGTTCCCCTGCCCCTGGTAGGAAGGCCCACTGGGTTTTCAAAGAGGGAGAAGGCTTAGGTGCTGGACCAGCAGCTAGGAGCAGGGTGCCTCTCGCCTCCTTCACCCCCAATGGAGGATCTGCCTATGGTTCTTCCTCTGAGACCCCACCTAAGCTTCCTTCCATCTCCCTGCAGCCTCAGGAGACCCTGGCCCAGGACTTGAACCTGAAGGTACAGACATTGGAGCAGACAGTGTCAATGAGAGAGCATGTGGCCACCAAAGCTGTACAAGACCTTCAGGCTACCGTCCAGGAGGTGCTGCAGAAGATGGAACCCCTCACACAGGTCTGCAGTAGGGCATTTGGGGGAGAACAGCTATAGTGAGCTAAGAAGGAGCAAAGACTGAACAGGGCTCTTCTAGAGAACCCGAGAGACAGCCAAAGCCATGGCAGGAGCTATGGTTTCCTGAGATTAAGGGAGTAGAGTTGTGAAGGAGGAGAGTGGGTGGGGACAGGGAGACAGACAACAGTACCAGGAGCATCTAGGACCACTCCCAGTTCTGGTAGTGTAGTGATTACAAATCGGGCTGCTAATCCCACAGCCAGCAGTTCAAAACTACCAGCTGTTCCACAGGAGAAAGATGAGGTTTTCTGCTCCCGTAAAGATTTACAGCCTCAGAAACCCTGTACAGGGTTGACCCTGTACAGGGTTGCTATGAGTCGGAACTGACTCCACGGCACATAACAACAACAATCAGGATAAGGAGCTCTGGTAGGTTTTCTCTTCCCATAAAGGTTTACAGTTTCAGAAACCTTGTACAGGATCACTATGAGTTGGAACTGATTCCATGGCACATAATCACCATTACCACCACAATGGGGCTGGCTCTTCATTTGCTCACCAGATACTTAGTGAACACTTTTGAGGCATCATGGGAACTCCTAGTACTAAGCCACAGTTTGACATTGACAGTCAAGCAGGGAAATCATGGAGTTCAAGAATTACATAGCAAATTTAGCCTAGTCCAGTGGTTTTCAACCTACTAAAAAAAAAAAATTATTTTCAGCTTTATATTTGGAAATAATTTTAGACTTACAAAAAGGTTGCCAAAAGTACTAAGAGGATTCCTGGTGTGGTGCTGTGGGATAAAGTACTGGACTGCAAGGTCGGTTTGAATCACAAGGTCGGCAGTTCAAGCTCACCAGTCGCTCCTTGAGAACCTTACACAGGGTTGCTATGAGTCGGAACCAACTTGAAGTCACTTAAAAACAATAACAACAACAACAACAAGAGTACTAAGAATTCCCATATACCCATCTTCACCCAGATCCCCTTATAGCAATATTTTTTTACCTAAACTCGACATCTAGATTATTAAGATCAAAAGATTAGCTGTAAACTTGATCCTTCTCCTGTCCTTTGTTGCAGTGATAGCTTATCAGGTAGTTTTTTAAAAAAAAAATAATTTTTTTTCAATACATTACATTTGAATTTTCAATACATTACATCTGCAGTTTAAGTATGCAGGAAAACTGCCCCAAAAGTACAGAGTTCCCATATGTTTCCTTCCCCAACCCCACCCCTGCAGTTAATCTCTGTTATTAACATCTTGCAATGATGTGTTTAGATTTGCTCAACCAATATTGATATGCCGTTAGTAACTAAACTCCAGTTTACATTTGTGTTGTACAGTCCTGTGGATTTAAAAAATACACAATGTCTTCATTCATTTGTACAGTTAACATTTATCGGACTTTGTGCTGAACTCTGAGGGCACAAATGAATAAAACTTAGTCCTGGCCCTCAAGAAGTTCACTGTCTGGTACAAGTTAGCACTTCCTTTGTATCTGCTGGCCACACACTATATGGTATGCTATACTGATTATCAGTTATGTGGCTGGATACCTACTGGACTGGACATTCCCAGTCAATAAATGTCTATTGACTGATTAAAAAAACAAACATAATGTCATGCGTCCATCAGTAGTCTCCTACAGAATAGTTTCACTGCCCCAAAAGTACCCTGTGCTTCACCTGTTCAACCTCTGCCACCCCTGAATTCCAGAAAATGATTGATCTTTCCAGGTGGTACAGTGGTGGAAGACGAGGGAAACCTGGGTTCGATTCCCTATATGCACCAGCAGCAGCCACTACCTGCGTAAAAGTGGAGGCTTGCATGATGCTGTGATGTAGACCAGGCTTCAGCAGAGATTCCAGACCAAAACAGACTAGGAAGAAAGGCCTGGAAATCCACTTCTGAAAAACAAATGAAAACCCTCTGGATCCCTTTAACCTTAAACCAGAAACATCTGAGGTCTTCTCAAGCCAAACAGTAGTTTAGCTTCATTAGGAAAGAATATCTACCTTCATCATTGAACTCTTTTTTAAGATCTATGTATATGGGATCAAACTGACAACAGCATTTCAGAAGATTAGGTAGTAAACTTAGGCGGCAATGCATTTAGGTTGATAAGGAGCAACAACTTGGGAAAGGAGGGTGAGAATGGTTGCACAGCTTGAAGAATGTAATTGTCTGAATTGTGTCTGAACATGCAGACATTGTTGAATCAGTGGACAGCTGTGTATAGTCTCAACAACAACAAAACAAAATAAATGATTAAAAAAAAAACTATCCCTTGGATCACATGGAGTCCTGGTATGGCACTGTAAGATAAGCACTAGACCGTAAAGTCAGTTTGAATTGCAAGATCTGCAGTTCATACTCACAAGCCACTCCTCAGAAACCCTTTACAGTGTTGCTATGAGTCGGAACCGACTCAATGGCACTTAATAACAACAACATGTCTTTTTATAGCTTCATACCTCTTTTTAAATTCATGAATTGGGTAGTCGTTTTTATATTTCTTTTAAAATTAGGAAATGGAGAATAAACCTTCTTGTGAGGATTAAGAGAGATGATCTGAAGAGCTAGGCCCAGTGCCCCGACACATACTAGTGGAATTATGGTGTGGGGCCCTCGGATAGTGACCACTGATCCAGTCCAACACCCTGGTCCTCAAGTGAGAAGCCCTGGTCCCTGAGACTGTAGCAGAGTCAGGCTGAGATGCCAGGTGACAGACACTTGCCTTCCCAGTGCTGTCCCAGCCCACCATGATGCTCCCACCTTCTCTGGTTCTGCAAGTGTTCAGGATGCCCAGGCTCACCACTGAGTGGTTCTTCAAGCTCATATTCTTTAAATATCTAGTCTACCCTAGTTTACTGGAGGAAGAAAGGCCTGGCAATTTTCTTGAAAGCCTAGGCAGTGAAAACCCTGGGAACATATTTCTACTCTGACATGGGGTCACCATGAGTGGGTATCAATTCCACAGCAACTGGTTTAGTCTACTAAAGAAGAAACTGATTTCTAAGAGTAAAAATTGAGTCATAAACTGATTCACTATTTTATGCCCACTGGCTAAGGCATAAACCCGTCATACAAAGAAATTTACAGTGGCCAACATTCCTATAAATTCTTCTGCTCCAGCTTTCCTCGGAGCTTTTCTGGGGCAGGTAAGTCCCCCTGAGACATCTGCAAGGGCTCCACATATATATAATAAAATAAATCAGGACCTCATGGCAAACAGTGTCAGTACTTTGGTGAAGTTTGGGGACCCCCATATGTGAGTTTGTTGCCCACATGAGTGTCTGTTCTCCTCTGCACAGCTGCGCCAGGAGGCCAGAGCTGCCCTGACCCAGGCTTCTTCGTCTGTCCAGGCTGCCACAGTGACCATCACAGGAGCCAGGACTCTGCTAGCTGATGTGGAAGGTATGAGTGCCCTGCTGAGCCCTTGCCCATGACAGCCATTCAGACTCTCATATTGGCCAGAGAACAAAAGTCCTTCCTCCACCTCTCAGGACCTCTTCCATGCCTGCTCTTCTCTCACCACCTCACATCACTCACCTGGGGACTTGCCCAGGTAACCATGCCGTCCAAACTCCAGCGTCATCAGACCATAGTCTTTCAGGACCAGAGGATGCCATCATCTGTCCACCCCTGGTCCAGTCCACTCTGGCCAGGGTCAGGTTACCTGGTACAAATACAGCTGTCCTGGTCCAATTGCTAGTTGAGGCAGAGGGGAGGGAAGAGAGAGGAAGACTGTTTCTAACAGACTGATGCCAGCCCAGGTTTACTTTGAGCTTTGGGGAAATGACAACCAATTTACCCATTTTACAGATGGGTTTGTTGTTATTGTTGTTAAGTGTCAAATCGATTCTGACTCATAGCGATCCTGTATAGGGTTTCTGAGGAATGGCTGGTAGGTTTGAACAGCCAACTTTGTGGTTTGCAGTCCAGTGCTTATCCTATAGCACCACACCAGGACTTCTATAGCTGGGTAGACTGAGGGAAAAAATCACTGTACCACATCCCTGGGCCAGAACTGAGCCAGGAGTAGAAACCAGTCAGGATTACATTTCTCTGTCTCAGTGTCTCCCTGCATTATAGGTTTCTGAGAAGTTTTCTTTGCTTCTGAGATAAGTCCACCCCCCCACCCCCCCTTATTTATGATTCTGTAGCAAAGGGCTGGGTAAGGCAAGAGGGCACGCTGAACCCAGATGAAGCCTCTGTTGTCTTCTTGGCTCTACAGTGACCTTCCCACCCTCTGACCCCTGGCCATTAGTGTCACAGATCCAATCAAAGACCCAGACTAAAGATAGGGCAGAAGGTGAGGCTCCTAGTCACCATTTTCCTGGGTGGAATGAAGTCCTAGGACCCTCAGGGACTTTTGATGGGAAAGGTATGGATATGTGTTTTTGCCTCTCTAGAGTGGAGTTTAGGAAAATGATACAAAGTGATGAACATGAGAATTATTCCGTTAGCCATTAGTTGCTATCAAGTTAGTTCTGACTCATGCTGACCTTACGTGTGCAGAGCGGAACTGCTTCTTAAGGTTTTCAAGTTGTGATCTTTCAGAAGCAGATTGCCAGCCAAGTCTGTCTCCTAAGGTGGCATTAGGAGGATTCAAACCACCAGTCTTTCATCTAATAGTTGAGGGCTTAACAGTTTATACTAAGGAGCTTCAATGACTCAATGATTAACCACTTGGCTGCTCACCAGAAGGTTGTCAGTTTGAACCCAGCCTCTGGGAGAAAGACCTGGTGATCTGCTTCCAGAAAAATCACAGCTTAGGAAACCAACTTGAAAACCAACTTAATAGCACATAACATTAGAAGTTGTTGTTGTTAAGTGCTGTTGAGAAGGTTCCAACCCATAGAGACCTTGTATAGGGTTTCCAAGGAGCAGTTGGTGAGCTTGAACTGCCAACCTTGCAGTTCAGACAGCTTTGCAATCTGGTGCATTAACCCACAGCGCCACACATTAGAAGTACAAGGGCGTTTAAAGTCATCTTCTGCAACCCCACATAAAGCATGGGGCTCATCACACTCAGCTTGCTTACTACCAGTGACGGGGTGTTCACTGCCTCACACAATATCACCTTTCCCTTGTTGGATGACCCTAGGAAAGTTCTTGTATGTTCCAAACAGAAAGTTGCTTCCTTGGTTCTGTGCAGAAATCTATATGAGGACTAACCTTGAACCGCTGACTCTAGGCTCTCTTTTCTATTTCTGCTCATTTCAGAGACTCCTCCTCTTACCAACAACTGGCCTGGGGTCCCCTAGCCTTGGTCATGTTCTGCCAAGAGAGTTTGTGTTCAAATAAGTGTAGGAAACTGTGTGCTATAGTGCCCTCTGGACTTCTGGTGTGGCACTGTGGATCAGCACTGGACTATGAGCCACAAGGTCAGAAGTTCAAACCCACCAGCTGCTCCTCGGAAACCCAATACAGGGTTGCTATGAGTCAGAATGGACTCCATGGCACTTAACAACAACAACACATAGTGCCCTCTGAAGCCCTCATTGCTGTTGTTATTAAGTGCCATTAAGTTGCTTCTGACTCATAGCCACCCTGTATACAGTATCCAAGGTGTGGCTGGTGGGTTTGAACCAACGACATTGCAACTAGCAGTGCACTTATCCTACAGCACCACACCAGGATTCCTTAAAATACATAGTGTACACCTTAAAATATTAAAGTAAAATATTTAATATTTTATATTTAAAGTAAAATATTAAATATGAAGTCTGAGAAGTTTTGTAATAAAGAAATCTGGTTTAATTTATTTAGACTTGACTTTTCTCCCAAACATTTATTAACAAAATATAGAATTAGGGTTCCATAGAATGTATTTGAAAAAACACTAATTTTATGCATAAAAATCAAAGTAGACCTAATTTTTTTGATTACTTTCATTGAACAATTTTGTAATATTATGACCCTAAAAACCAGAAGAGCCTGGTGTGGTACTATAGGATACGTTCAAACCTATCAGCTGTCCTGCTGGAGAAAGATAAGACTTTCTACTCCTATGAAGAGTCACAGCCTTGGAAACTCTATACAAGTAAGTATGTATGAATCGGAACTGACTTGGCAGTACCTAACAACAACAACGACAAAGATCAGAAAACTTGATACTTTTTAAAACTTGATTTTGTCCACTAAGTATTCTTTATGGTAAATTTCCCTTAGAATTTACAGAAAGGAAAATAATCCCTGTTTCTTTACAACATGAGAAACTACTTAATAGATAACAACCAACCAATGTAAACTGTAGTATTTTCCTCTTTGTGAGGGTTGCTAGGAAGCTTGGAAGTAAACTATGTATTTGGTTCCAGCAATATCATTATTCTAAGTTTCTGACCCTTCTCATTTCTCCTCTTCCCTTCCTCATCCTCCTGGTTATATATGGCTCTTGGGTTTTTTTTCCTTTTAATGATCCAATTACTGATATATCTGTCACTATAAACTACCCCAAAGCCTTTTTTAAAATAAACAGGTTGTACATAAAAATAAAGAACTGGACGGTCAAGGTTGAGGCTCCCCACTCCTGTCACTGACCTAGACATTGACCACCATATAATTTCATGACTTTAACAAGTATCACAAAAATCTTTAAACTCACGGTGCAGTGTTTCTCACTCATTATTGCTTCTTGGATTAGCCTGAAAAGTTATACATAGATGTCATGTTTCTTGAAATCGCCACTCACGCTGTCCCAAGGTCTGGGGTTGGTCAGACATCTGCCAGTGACCACCTTACAAAAGACCTTTGAGGGGTAAGCCCAGCTCTCCTGACATAACCTTGGCTGGATTTGCAGGAATGAAGCTGCAGTTTCCTCAGCCTGAGGACCAAGCCACACTGCGAAGGAAGGCAAATGTTGTCCGGGACAGGCTCCTTGCAGACACGAAGAAGAAGACCAAGCAGGTGGAGAGGATGCTGGGAAATGCAGCATCTGTCTCCTCCAGTGCCAAGAAGAAGAGCAGAGAAGGAGAGCAGTTGGCCAAGGACAGTGCCAAGGTCAGGTTTGCAGACACGGTGGCAGCAGCTTCCTTATACCTGAGTCTGTGAAAGGACTGTCATACAACACATACTCTTGTGTAGGTCAAATATGGCCCCTGTAGATCTGATGCAGAATACACCACACTTATAAGTGCTCAGGTAGCGTAGTGGTTACGAATCGGGCTGCGAACCTTAAGGTCAGCGGTTCGAAACTACCGTCCGCTCTGTGGGAGAAAGATGAGGCTTTTTACTCCCGTAAAGAAACCCTGTACAGGGTCGCTGTGAGTCGGAACCGACTCGATGGCACTTAACAACACCAACAACAGTAAGTGCTCAGGGGCTCCCAGGCTCTGAACTGAGGGCCTTCGTGTGGGTGACCTTGTTGATTTCCCATCAGATAGGTAATTGCTGGTCCCATGTTACAATAAGGTGACGCTCCTAGCCAGGACTCACACCTGGGTCTGCTTGGCTTGACTGCCTAAACTAGGTTTTTCTTTTTCAACTGGGGCCGAGTTCTAATCCGTGTATCTCCTGATACTGTTGCTGTCTTTGTTGCTCATATCTAAGGAAACTGCCTTCATGGTTGTCTAGAGGACATGCTGGATTTGAAATAGGAGTCCTCAGGTCTGACTTTGGGTCCTGCTTCCACTTGAACCTTGGCTAGCCCCTCCTCTTCTCTGAGCTTCTGTTTCCTCATCTGTGACACAGTTGGCATTTCTCCTCTGGGAATACATGGGTAGTATCCAGCTCTTGACATAGTGCCAGCATCTAGTGGGTACCTAGTACATATGTGTTGAGTGAATGACCCATTCACAAAATGGATGCCTGCTTGGCTTTACTGCCATGAACCCTAAAATACCAACCTCACTACCGTCGAGTGGATTCTGACTCACAGTGACCTTAAAAGGCCAAGTAGAGCTGCTCCACAGAGTGTCCGAGGCTATAAATCTTTACAGGAGCAGAAGGCCTCATCTTTCTCCTGCAAAGTGGCTGCTGGTAGGTTTGAACTGCCAACCTTGTGGTTACCAGCCCAGTGCTAAACCTATTACGCCACCTGGGGTCCTCCATTAGAAATCTTTCCCTCCCAACATCTCACTCCATTCACTTTCCCTCCCTGCTGTCGTTGCCCACCCTGTAGTCTGCCAAGGCTTTGCTGAGGAAGGGGAAGCAGGAGAAGCGTTGTGCTAGCCGGCTGGCCAGCCAGACACAGATGACTCTCCACCAGGCCTCCCAGCAGGTGCTGGCCTCCAGAGCAAACCGATGGGAGCTTGAGGAAGTGGAGCGGGTATGTTTGCCCAGACTCCCACCCCATTTTCCTCTGCCCCCCAGCCGTTCCTCCCTCATCTGTTCTTCCCTTTTCCTGGAAGGTGGGTGCTGAGCTAAGCAAGATGGAGCGGCATATCCGGGAGTCTCGTCTTTCCCTGGAGATGGACATCAAGACTTTGTCGGAGCTACTTGTTAGGCTGGGTAAGGAGACCCCAAGGCAAGTCCAGACCCCCTGGGCTCCTGGGGCTTCTCTGGGAGCTCTCTGTGAGACTCCCAGTCCTGGGGAAGATTTCTTCCGTGTCCTCATTGCTGCTGCTTCCCCTGTCCCCATCCTGTGGTCAATCACAAGTATTCGTCCTCTGTGTGAGGCAGAGTTGATGTCCAGCAGTAAGCTCAATTTGAATAACTCTCTGTGTCTCCAGAGGCTTTTGTCTGAGAGGGAGGGACATACAGGAAACTACCACATACAAGAACAGCTGTGTACCCAGTGAATGGGTCAATCCTCAGTGAGAAAGGGTCTGAGAAAAAGAGAGAACATTAAAGCAACAAGGGCATCAAGGAGCAAGTGCTGACTTTGGAACCAGACAGACAGACTGCCTGTAAGACCTTGGGCAAGTCACTCCACCTCTCTGAGCCTCACTTCCCTCTTTTGTAATATGGAAGTAGCAATGGGATGATTGACAGTGCTCATAAGCATAGTACTTGGTATATGATGTGTCATTTTGATGGAGGAGGTAGGAGTCAAGATGTTCAAGATAGGATTCACAAGCAGGCATTTCAGAAGAATGGGACAATCCCTGCCAAGACATGGAGGCCCCAGAGGCCCTGTTGTCTGCTGGGGGGCAACAGTCAGAGTAGGTGGGCTGAAGTGAACAGCATACATGTTCAGTTTTTATTAATAATAAAAAAAGGAGGAATCGCCATGTTCTACATTCTACATACCAGGCCCATGCTAAGCTATTGGCACACATGATCTAATTGAATTATTTTAGGCGAGGACAGTTATTCTCTTGATTATTTTACAGAGAGCCACAGCATGACTAGGCTCACACAGCCAGGGAGGCACTGCTATGGGCCAGCATGCACACTCGTGGCCACTAGACGGCCCTGGTCAAAGTACCTGGCACACACTCTACACTGATGGTTGTTGTTGGCATTGATTCATTCAGAAAACTCTTGGCTGGCACACCCGGCCCCTCCCCATGGGAATTCTGACCTGGGCAGGTAGAGCAGTACCTATAAGGAGATGTTGTTAAGTACCATTGAGTTTGTTCCCACCCACAGCGACCCTGTATAGGGTTTCCGAGGAGCAGCTGGTGAGCTTGAACCACCGACCTTGCAGTTCAAACACCTTTGCAGTCTGGCGCATTAACCCACCGCGCCACACTAGGACTCCAACTACAATGAGATGGTGGTGGCGGTTATGTGCCGTGGAGTCGTTTCTGACCCATAGCGACCCTGTACAGGGTTTCTGAGGCTGTAAATCTTTACAGGAGCAGAAAGCCTCATCTTTTCCTGTGGAACAGCTGGTAGTTTCAAACTGCTGACTTTGCGGTTCGCAACCCAATTCGTAACCACTACGCTATAGGGCTCCTAAACTCCTCAAAAGCCAGGCTGTTTGGACATCCCTGTGGTCAGTTGTTGTTGTTGTTAAGTGCCGTGGAGTCGATTCTGACCCATAGTGACCCTGTATAGGGTTTCCAAGTAGCAGCTGGTGAGCTTGAACTACCAACCTTACAGTTCAAATGGCTTTGCAGTCTGGTGCATTAACCCACAGCGCCACACCAGGACTTCCCTGTGGTCGGTCGGTCAGTGAGACCTCTCAAAATCATTGTTGCAAGTAAGACATGCCAAAGCCCAGCAGGTCCTCAATTTCCCTCTGCCTTTTTTTTTTTCAATCTTAAAACAATGCATGTTTAGTATCTCAGTTTCTGCAGGTCAGAAGTGTGGGTGTGGATTAACTGGACTCTTTCCTCAGGCTCACAAGGCTGCAATCCAACTCTCAGCCTCATCAGAGGCTCAACTGGAGAAAGAGCCTCTTTCAAGCTTCCTTGGTTGTTGGTAGAAATTCATTCATTGTCTTGTGATTTTAGGGCTGAGTCCTCATTGTCTTGTTATTAACTAGGGAGGGACCCTGGTGGCACAGTGGTTAAAGCACTCAGCTGCTAACTGAAAGGTGTGCTGTTCAAACCCACCAGCCAATACTCAAGAGAAGGATGTGGCAGTCTGCTTCCATAAAGATTTATATACAGCCTTGGAAACCCTCTGTCCTATTAGGGTTGCTGTGATTTAGAATCAATTCGATTGCAGGGGGTTTGGACCTTTTTTGGTGTCAGCTGGGGCCTCAGTCAGCGCCTACATGCCACCTCTCACAACGTAACAACTTCTCAAAGCCAGCAAGGTAGTCTCTACTAAAACCAAATCACGGGAGTAATGTGTCACCATCTTCACCAAGAAGCAAGTCACAGGTTCTACCTGCACTCAGTGGGAGGAGATTTACAAGGAGGAGGTCACCTAGGTGTATCCATCACAAATAGACATAAAAGCCCAGTTGCTCCCTAGTCGATTCCAACTCCTGATAACCCCATGTGTATCAGAGTACAACTATGCTCCACAGGGTTTGGCTGTGTGTTTATTTTTGGTGGAAATACACACAGTAAAACCTGCTTCCAGTTTCTAGACATAGCAACCAGTGACATAGGCTACCTTCCTCACAGTGTCAGCGTTCTTGTCTTTTCTGTTCTACTTGTCTCACTTCCTCATACATACTTCCTGCTTGCTCTTCCAGGTTCTAAAACAGCTATATGTATCGGTTCTGACTCATAGTTACCTTGTATAGATAGGGTTTCTGAGACAAATCTTTGCTGGAGCAGAAAAGCCTCATCTTTCTCTTGTGGAGCAGCTGGTGTGCTTGAACTGCTGATCTTGTGGTTATCAGTCCAGTGCTTATATTACAGAGCCACTGTGCTCCTATATATGTATATAAACATATGCATATATTTGTATATGGAGTCCTGGTGTGGCACTGTGGATTAATGCACCAGACTGCAAAGCCATTTGAACTGCAAGGTTGGCAGTTCAAACTCACCAGCTGCTCCTCAGAAACCCTATACAGGATCGCAATGGGTCTGAACCAATTCCACGGCACTTAACAACAATAACAACAAATGTGTGTATATTTATTTCTTATTATTTAATGCAATACTCAAGGATGACAAACTTTACTCATTGGGTTAAACTGTTACTTAGCTTAAAGGTGACTTTACAGGATAGTTGCAATTCCCCCTCTGGCTCTCCCTGGTTTGGCTCTGACTTACCCTCTAACCAGTCTTCAATGCCCAGGAAATTCAAGGCCTTGGGGAGCCTTAGGGCCCAGCCAGATTTCATGGCATTATAACCTTGGGGCTCCCCTCCCCCAACCTATCTGAATTAATCTTCTGTTGAATGTCATATTCATGACATGGTGACAAGGGCCAGGTGCAGAAGGCAACCTGTGAGTTCCATGCTTCTGCTCCCACTAGCGGAGTCCTGGTGTGGCACTGTGGGATAAAGCATTGGATCACAAGGTTGGTTTGAGCCACAAGGTTGACAGTTCAAACTCACCAGTAGCTCCTTAGAAACCCTATACAGGGTTGCTGTGAGTTGAAATCTACTCGATGGTACTTAACAACTCCTACTACCTCTACAACTCCTAGCCACCATTCCCTGCTCTCCTACACACTATCCCCTCTGCTCCCAAATGCCACCACCACCACCACCACCAAGTTCTAGTACAAACTCCAGAAGACTCCTATAGAGCACCTGCTCTACCATCTTGTTTTATAGTTGTTATAAAGGGCCGTTGAATCGGTTCTGACTCATAGCGACCCTGTATAGGGTTTCCAAGAAGCAGCTGGTAGGTTTGAACTATTGACCATGAGGTTCACAGTCCAGTGCTGATCCTACAGCACCACACCAGGAGTCTGTTTTATAGTTGGGGAGGCTCAAGTAAGTCCTTCACCTGTGGAGATACTGATAATACTTGCAGGGCCGGGACTAGAACCCCACTGCCTACCTGCCAGGCCTGCAGTCCTTCCTGCCCTATCTGCACCTGACTCTCATTCCTAAGTCAGCTTCTCTGGGACTGAGACTCTCTATCCCACCCAGTGTCCTCCCACATCCCAGCACACAGGGCGTGTTCAAGTCAGCAGAACTCATGGGCCCTCTCACATGCCACTTTATGGATAAGGGAGTTGGAGCTACCGAGGACTCCCCCAAGGCTGCCATTTTAAACACTGATACAACAAAAACAAACAGTGGTCCCGTGCCACCTAGGGAGACCATTACAGAGTCTGCACACGCACCTGGGGAGATGGCTAGACCCGGCCCTCACCTACCTCACCACACTGCCCTCTTGGTCCTGCTTTCTCTGGCTGCCCTCGGGCAATCAATATCCTGGAAGATTCCAGTTGAGAAGAGCCACAGGGCTGAAGGGGTCCTTGGGTTCACAGGAAGGCCGGCCCATTCTGAGACTTGCCCCTCTACAGGGTCACTGGACACCCATCAAGCCCCAGCCCAGGCCCTGAACGAGACACAGCGAGCACTGAAACACCTGAGGCTTCAGCTCAGCTCACCGGGAGCCCTGCAAGGGAAACTGAGGCTGTTGGAGCAGGAGTCTGAGCAGCAGGTGCTCCTGATCCAGAACTTTGAAAGTGACCTTGCGGAAATCCGTGCTGACAAGCAGAACTTGGAGGCCATCCTGCACAGCCTGCCCGAGAGCTGTGCCAGCTGGCAGTGAGGGCCTCCCAGACCGAGCCATAAACTCCCCACCTGTCCCCGCTGTGCATCCTGCCCAGGGCATGCACACACCTCTACAGGTACACCCACCAGAGCCTGCTGCTGCTGCCTCCCCTCCCAGCCTATGCCCATAGCACCACCCTGCCAGCAGAGTGTGCCCGTACCACAGCGAGTGTGCTCACACAGTTCACTAGGCAGCCACTGTTTGCACGACCCCAGCAGTGAGCACTCCTGCCCAGTGTCAACATGCCACACCTGCACATGCGCCTGCTGTGTGTGAATCCTAGGTGTATGATGCACACAAGTGTGAAAGCCCATCCATTTGTACTCATACCTTACAGCCAATCCGCAGGTATTTGTTGGGAGCCAACCATGGTGGTTATGTTAAACACCCTGTGGCTCAGATGTACCCATTCTTATTCCAGAAAGCAGGGAGCCATGGAGGGTTGGTGCCTGAGTAGCAGAGAGAACATCCACAGAGATCCAGGGTGGGTTCAGCAAGAGCCAGATCCCTGTCCCAGAGAGAGCTAGCTGTGCTGCTGCAACCCCTCTCCACATCCACACACATCCATCACCCACCTTGTATACCCAGGTGTAGCCGAGGGACCAGACAGACCCACATGCAAACAGCTCCGAGGAGGTTTCCCAGCAGTGGAACCTAAGGCCAGGCATTCCCGAGGCTGTAGTGCAGCCTGCTAAACTGGCCAGGGACGGGGTCCACCTCCAGTGGGGTATCATGGGCTTCATCAGCTGCTTTACTCTCAGGACCCTGAGATTGCCCCACCCTGGACCTTTTAGCCTATGGGTTGTCTAAAGAATTGGACTACAGGGACCTGAGGGGCTCAGAGAGGTTACCAGGACCACACCTTTGTGATCCCACTGACCCTAGTTGGTCTTTAACTGATGCACACTTCCTGAACTGGCTTGCCACCAAGGAGGCTGCCAGGGGCAGGGAGTCTTGGCTGATGGTCCAGTTTTTCCTGCCTGGGGAATCCTCCAGTGGCCAGCCCCATGCCTGCTTCTGCCCAGGAGTCCTGGCAGGCATTTCCTCCTGGCACTTCCTCCTCCGATTTCCTGGGCCATCTTCCAACAGATGCCACGCTGGTTCTTGGTGCAGGGAGGATGGGCTTCTCAGTAGATCCAACCTATTTCCAAGGCTCCTGTTACCTCAGTTACAAATACACCTGGGGCTAGAGGGGACAGGTGGCAGTACGGATCTCTTCCGTTTAACATGGAAATAAATGACCCCTTTGCTGAGTCTTTGGGTGTGTATCGTTGATCCTCCCATGCTGGTTGGGGTCCTGGCTATAAATGCAGATATGCTGCCCTGGTTGTGGCCTTCCACCCACCCACAATAGCACACACCCAGCACCTAAGGAATAGGTGGAGGATGTCCCAGTGTCTCTTCTTACTGAGGGGCTTGGTAGGGGTCCTGTGACCACTAGCACAATCCTGTCTGCTCTGGGGGCTCATCAGGCAAAGTCTGAGGGAGTTGGAGAGTTTGTGGTGGGATGGGGGCACACCGACCCTCAGACGACCTCTGACTCAGGGTGGAGGGAGACATTGAAACAAACCCTTTGCCATACAGCCAATTCCAACTTGTAGCGACAGGGTTTCCGAGGCTATAAATCTTCATCAAAGCAGAGAGCCTCATCTTTCTCCCACGGAGTGGCTGCAGGATTTGAACTGTCAATCTCATCCTATAGGACCACCAAGGCTCCTGAAATGATTAATGCAACCAAGTGACACGGGAGGGCGCCAGTGAGGAGAGGAGAGCTGCTTCCAGGCCAGGGCTGCAAGGGTGGGGAGACAGAAGGAAACCTTCCAGGCAAGAGGGTGGGCAGCAACCCTGGGTGTGTACTGAGAACCTAGGGTGGGAATATGGAGACAAAAGGACCAAACCCCTCCAGAGCACGAGTTCATGGGGAGGACATGGGAGGGTCTGCTGGAAGCCTGGGGCAGAAACGCTGCCAGGCCTCCTTGGAGACAGCCTGGGCAGCCCAGCCCATGGCTGCAGGGGATGGCAGCCTCTCTTTCCCTTCCTTCCCCTGCTCTTGGTCTCTGCCTCTGCTTCCTTCTTTTCCCTCAGCTGGGTAGCTTGCTTTGCTATGCACTCAATGGAAGAAGACCCCGTACTAGCGCCCACCATGATCCTCAGCTTTACATCTTACCAGTCTTAAGTACTTGACAGAGACAAGCTAGAAACACTTTCCTGATTCCAGTTTCCCAGGAGAAGGGATCTACTTGACCCCCTGTTCTGTTCCTGGTCTTCCCATTCAGAACAATGTGGGTCTCTGGGGCTAGGAAGGAGCCCTGGTTGCACAGTGCTTAAGCACTTGGATACTAACTGAAAGGTTGCTGGTTCGAAAACAACAACTGCTCTACTTCCAAACAAATTGTTGTTCAACAGATTACAGTTCTCTGCCCTCTAGGGTCACTGTGAGTTGGAATCAACTGATGGCAATGGGTCTGTTGTTTTAATTTCTGGGACGAGGACCACATAATGAGAGATGGTTGTGGTCTCCCCAATCTGGTTGGGAAAGAGCACAGGGAACTTAGAAAACCAAGCCTGCAGGGGCTGGGGTTAACATGGTGAACAGCATTGATTTGGGAAGTGACTTGGTAGATTAGGGGAGGTGGTAGCCAGGACAGGGAAGAAGTTATTCTACAGTGAGTCTGATGATTGGCATTTGGGCTTGGTGGACCTGAGGAATTAAGGATTCTCCAAAGACCTTTGGGCAAGTCTGATGGGTTCCACCCAGTTTCTCAGCTGACAGGGGCACACAGCATTCTGATGCCTAATCTTGGACTCCAACCTTTATCTGTTTAAGCCTTGGGGCTCTGCAAAGCCCAATCGCAGCATGCCTGGTGGAGGGAACAGGTTCCTTCTCCATTCCATGGTGACATATCTCAGGCCTGACATCTCATACCTGACATGCCTGCCATTCATAACTCATGATCATTTCTGGCCCATGTAGAGCCACTCTCTAGCCCCAGAGGTGGAATGTGGTAGCTGTTGAACATCTGGTTAGCAATGCAGCCCAGCAGCTGAACAGTAGAAGGTGGGAAGTGCCTGCCTTGTGGTTAAACAACCCAACTGACAAGGGCAACACTATAGCCTGTCCTGCACTGGGAACAAATCAAATGCCTTCTTTGACATGTAGATGAGACATTACCAGTTGAGAACAATGACAGTAAGTCCCTGTTTGACTCCCCTCCAAGCTTTTACTATCTGCTTAAACCACCCTGAACATAGAGAAGTAACAGTCTCTGCTGGATTAACAGGCCTTGGAGACAGGCATTTACCAAGGAGCTCACTGAGTGTGCAAATAAGTCTAGAGGGCAGGAGCTCTGATTTCCTTTATTTTTCACATCAGGGGACTGAGGCCCCAACAGGTCAAGGGCCTTGTCCAAGGTCTTCTAGCTTGACCAGATCCCAACCCTAGTAGTGAATGAACATAGGAGAGTAACCAGCTCAAAGCAGGCACTCGCTGTTGGGGAGATGTGACTTCTCCCTAAAACTGCTGCTCTAGCATCAACTCACCCTGGCCATTCTATTCTGCTCTTTCCTTTGCCTAGTCTCTCTCTTGGGGGCAGTCTGGCCACTTCTCTCCCTATTTTGTTGTTGTTAGGTGCCATTGAGTTGGTATAGACCCATAGCAACCTTAGGCACAGCAGAATGAAACACTGCCCGATCCTGGGCCACACTTGAGTCCATTGATGCTGCCACTTTGCCAATTCATCTCGTTGGGGGTCTTGCTCTTTTTCTCTGACCCTCCACCTTACCACACATGATACCCTTCTCCAGCAACTGGTCCCTCCTGGCAATATGTCCAAAGTGTGAGAGACGAAGTTTGGCCATCTTGGCCTCGAAGGAGCACTCTGGCTGCACTTCTTACAAAACAGATCTATTGGGTCTTTTGGCAGTCCATGGCACTTTCAGTATTCTCCTCCAACACAGTAACTCAAAGGCATCAATTCTTTAAACAAAAGATCACTGGCTAGCTTCAAGATCCCAACCCTGAGAGTCAAGTGAAAAGTCTGTGGAGAAGAAGGCTTTCTAGATGCAGCCCCCAGAGACAGGGAGACTCAGACTATGTGGTAGGACCACTGTTAGTGACCAGGTGTCCCGTTTGCCTAGGGCAGTCTGATCTATGCTTGTGACCCTTTTCCCTCACAGATATGTCCTGATATGCTGGTCTATAAGAGATCCACATTACACAGAAAGACAAAAATAGATGACCTTTAGGTTCAAACTGACCTTGCAGCCCAGTCCTTATCCTACAGTGGCCACACCAGGAGATTTTAACACAACTAAAAAGAAATTCAACAAAGACCCAGAAGAACTAAACTACACAATCAACCAACTTGACCTCACAGACATATACGGAGCACTCAACCCAACAGTAGCAGAATATACATTCTTTTCCAGAATAGACCAGTAAGCCTGATCTTTTTTTAAATTTAATTTTTGAGTTTTGTTCCATATTTTCTTCTACTCGCAAAGATTGACAGCCTTAGAAAACCTGTGCAGGGTCATTATGAGTCGGAACAGACTCCACGGTACCTAACAACAATCCAGGACCTTCTAATGTGATCCTTTTCAGAGTAGTTGGTAGTGGTAGCTGGGTAAGAAAAGATTTTCTTGCTAAAAGAAACATTCTATGATGGTTACCAGGGGTGGGAGGGAAGGGAAAGTTATTCACAGGGTAGAAGGCAGACATATGTTAACTTGGGTGATGGAGAAGGCATTGTACAACAAAAGGGAGGTTGGCACAGAAAAAATGAAGGCAGAGGGAGACACAGGGAGGAGTGTAGCATTAAAGTGAATAGAGATACATACTGTTAACTGGTGGTACATGGAAGGGACTGCAGTCATTGCAATGACACAAAGTGTAGGATTTGTTGAAGGTGGGACTGATGATCTGATCTGCAAACCTTGAGTCAATTCACAATACCAAGTTAAAAATGAAGAAGAAATGTTCTGATGTGGACAATAGACAAAATAATTGCTCTAGTTATGAGCTGAGTCCCTGGTTTCTGCACCTTGAACCTACTCTTCCTAAAATTAGAGGCTTAGTTTTCATCTTGATGGACTTGTGCCCCAAGCTTCAGCTTCCTGACTTTTCTGTAAAATGGGATTATGAATCTTATGAGTTTTAAAGTTTTGAGAGTTAAATGATGTAATAAATGTATCCTATAGGAGCTCTGGTGTGGCGCTGTGGGTTAATGCGCCAGACTGCGAAGCCATTTGAACTGAAAGGTCAGCGGTTCAAGCTCACCAGCTGCTCCTCAGAAACCCAATACAGGGTCACTATGGGTCGGAACCGACTCGATGGCACTTCACAACAACAACAACAACAACATAGGAGCTCTGATAGTGTAGTGGTTACGAATCGGGCTGCGAACCGCAAGGTCAGCAGTTCGAAACTACCAGCTGTTCTGCAGGAGAAAGATGAGGCTTTCTGCTCCCGTAAAGAAGGACCTACTACACCTATGAGTCAGAACTGACTAGATGGTCTTTAGCAACAACCACCAAGATAGAGGTGGACTGTGTGCTTTGGACCTGGGGTCCTGTACTATGAAGCTCCTAGATCTGGTGGAAGATTGATGCCAAGATGTGTAGAGATCTCTAAGAAATACTGGGCCTACGGAAAGGAAAGATTACTGACGCTGAAAGAAGACAAGGACCTTTCCCCAGAGCTGACAAAGAGAAATCCTTTTCCAAGAGGTGTACTCAGAATTTGGACTTCTAGTCCTGGTGTGACGCTGTAAGATAAGCACTAGATTGCAAGGTCAGCGGTTCAAACCCAACAGCTGCTCCTTGGAAACCCTATACAGGATGACTATGAGTCAGAAACAATTTGATGGCATTTAACAAGAACAACCAATGTTTATATATTTATCTTTCCAGAGTTAGCAATAAAGGTTGGGATCCTCATGCCTCATTTCCAAGAGTTTATACTATCCAAAGGACCGTGACAACCACATCAGCCTCATTTTGTTGAGTGCTTACCAACTAACTGCCCTTAACAACAGCAGCAATAACAAATCGTGAGAGGATGAATTTCTGGTCGTTAAAGCCATCCACTTGTGGTATTTCTGTGTAAAATATTCCGTGTAAAAACAGCATTTGCTGTTGTTATTAAGTGCTGTCAAATCACTCATGGGTTCCAACTCATAGTGACCCTGTTTAGGGTTTCCAAGGAGCAGCTGGTGACTTTGAATCACCAACCTTGTGGTTCCTTATGGTTGAGTGCATTATCCTGCAGTGCTAGATAACAGCATTAGACATGCCTTTTCTTAAAGAAAACTAAACATGTTCTTTTCTAATGTAGTGCTACAGGATAAGCACTGGACTGCTAACCAAAAGGTTGGCAGTTTTAAGCCCACCAAATGCTCCTTGGAAACACTATTATACAGGGTTACTATGGCCCTTAACAATGACACATGTTTATATTTTTTTCTTTCCAGAATTAACAATAAAAGTTGAGAACCTCATGCCTCATTTCAGAGAGTTTATACTGTCCAAACAGCAATGATATTCCTTTGTTGTTGTTGTTAAGTGCCGTCGAGTCGGGTCCGACCCATAGCGACCCTGTACAGGGTTTCCGAGGGTGTAAATCTTTACGGGAGTAGAAAGCCTCATCTTTCTCCCGCGGAGCAGCTGGTAGTTTCGAACCGCTGACCTTAAGGTTTGCAGCCCGATTCGTAACCACTACGCTACCAGAGATATTCCTAGCAGCCTCATTTTGTTGAGTGCTTATTTTCTGCCTGAGTGTTGGCATTTGATCTTGGCATATGACCCCATTATTTTCATTGTATTATTGTCCTTGTTGTGTGCCATTAAATCGATTTCTACACATAGTGACCTCATGTGATGGAACTATCCCAGAGGGTTTTCTAGCCTGTCCTGGTATGACGCTGTAGGATAAGCACTAGACTACAAGGTTAGTTTGAATTGCAAGGTCGGTTATTCAGGTCCACCAGCCGCACCTTGGAAACCAGAGGCAAGGTCGCTGTGGGGTCAATCGACTGAAAGCACTTAACAATAACAACAATCTTTTCTGGAAGGAAATCATCAGGTCTTGCTCCTGCGGAACCTCTGAGGGGATTCTAACCGCCAAGCTTTCAATAGCAGCGCTTAATCACTGTGCCACCACGTCTTGTTTTTTAAAGTAAATACTAAGATCACTTTTATTTATGAGGATCCAGAGGCTCGGGGAAGGGAAGCAGCTGGTCCGAGGTCCCCCTGGGGTTCCGTCCCTAGGAGCAGAGAGCAGAGAGCAGAGAGCAGAGAGGCCAGCGCGCGGGCTTCCCATCCCTCATAATAGTCGCTTTGATGCTGTCGGCCGGGGCTGCAGCGGGGCGGGAAGGGAGGCGGGCCAGGATGGGGGAAGGAGGGGGTGTGTCCGGCAGCCCCAAGCCATCCCTCCTCTCTTCGGTCCCGCCGCCACTAGCAGTCGGAGCTCGGACCTGGCGCGCGTCCCTCCTAGTCCTGAGTTTCTGCTGCGAAGTTCCGAGGCGACTAGAGCCCGGCTCTCACCATGTCTGTCACGCTCAGCAACAGGTTCCAAGGTAGGCGCCGCTCCGCTGTCCCCCCGCAGATCCTTATTGTCCCGCGCCCACTCCCCTCAGTCCCGTACGCCCAGGTCCCCGGCCCCGCCACCTGTGCGCCCAGGGCGGGTGGCGGGGTATGTGACGCGCGGGAAGCTGGCGCGGGAGGTCAGCGTGAGGTCCTGGGAGGCCCCCAGCTTCTCAGCCCGCCTCTTTGTCTCTTTCAGGAGGGAAGGCGTTTGGCTTGCTAAAAGCCCGGCAAGAGAAGAGGCTGGCAGAGATCAACCGGGTAAGCGCGCCCGCCCGCCCGCCTCGCTTTTCTAGCCCTGGGGCCGCAGGCAACCTACGCGAGGCCAGAGCCCGCACGCCACCCGCACCCTCCACCCTGGCGCGTCCCACCTCCATCTGCCAGGCTGTGACTACATTAAAGTCTACTCCCCCTTCCTCATCTTCCCTGGGCTTGCCCCAATTTTCTCCTTCCACTCCCGCCCCTGTTGCCTCCGACCCCAGGTAGGCACCCTGCTCCCCCTTTGCTCCCTCCCAGCTCTGGTCCCTGCGTCTCGGGTTGCAAGTTGTTACTCTCAACTTGAGAGGTGGGGCCGGCTGGCCTAGAAGCTCCAAAGCCAGCCCAGGCTGGAACTTGACTTGTGGAAGCTTCCTAAATCATGACATCCTTAAAGAAACCTTCTTATTAGTGTGATACAAGCTTAGGTTTCATTCCACTATGTGAAAAAGCTTTCCCTGTTGAATCCTTTGTATGTATGGGCGACAATGATTTGGCGCTGGAAGGGACTCCGCAGGAGGTCTCGGAGCATACCTGTTTTACGACCGAGAAAAGGAAAGGAGGTCCAGTGAAGTGAGATGGCTGCCCTTAGAGTTCGCAGCATTCCTTGTACAGGACCGGACTCCCAAGTCAGTGCTCTCCCTACCATAATAATATAGGCTCTTGGTTCACTGGCAAAGGTTGGTGGTGTGCCTGACCGCCCCCCAACTCCAGTTTAAAGGACTGGTTCCTTAGGAAGTTGATGCTTTTCTTCTTAGTTTTTGGAAGGGATTACTCATTCAGGTGGGTTTATATGAAGAAATATTCCCAGTTGTCCTCAGGCACACTGTAAACCTGTTGCCATCAGTTGATTCCAACTCATGACGCCCCCCCGTGTGTTACAGAGTAGAACTGCTCTCTGAGATATTCTTGGTACAGTTGTTAAGCATTGGCAGCTAACCAAAGAGTTGGATGCTAGTAGAAAGGTTGAAACCCACCAATTGCTCCATGAGAGAAAGATGTGGCAGTATGCTTCTGTAAAGATGTACAACCTTGGAAACCTTGTGTGGCAGCTGTACTCTGGTCTTTCAGGTTACTATGAGTCTGAATCTACTCAATGGCAATGGATGGGAATCTTTACAGAAGTAGATTGCCAGGCCTTTCTTCTGCAGCACCACTGGGTGGATTTAAACTGCCAACATTTAGGTTAGTAGTTGTGCGCAAACCCATTTGTGCTACCCAGGGTCCTACACACAAAGTTGTTGTTGAGTGCTGTCAAGTCTGTTTTGACTCATAGCAACCCTGAATCGGGTTTCTGAGGAACAGCTGGTAGGTTAAACTGCCAACCTAGCGGTTCTCAGTCCAGTGCTGATCCTACAGCGCCACTCCTGGAGTTATCCCTTAAATGCTTGCTTAATGTCTGCATTCTAGAAGATATGGGAAAGTCCAGGCCTACTTGACCAAATTTCAACAACAGTACAGCCCATGACTAAGGAGCTCTGGTAGTGTAGTGGTTACGAATTGGGCTGCTAACCTCAAGATCAGCAGTTTGATACTACCAACCATTCCGCGGGAGAAAAATGAGGTTTTCTGCTCCCATAAAGATTTACAGCCTCGGAAAGCCTGTACAGGGTCACTATGAGTCGGCACCAACTCCATGGTACTTAACAACAACACAGCCAGTGACTAGCGCACAGCAGACCTGGGCTCAGATCCACCATCATTTACCAGTTCTGGTAGTGCTGTAGGTTAGTGGATTACTAACCACAAGGTCAGTGGTTCAAACCCATTGGCCACATAGAGGGAGAAAGATGAAGCTACCAGCTCCTCTAAAGATTTACATTCTTGGAAACCCTATATAGGGTTGCTATGGTCAGAATAGAATACGCACTGGACTGCTAACCACAAGATCAGGGTTTCAAACCCACCAGCCATTCCTTGGAAACCTTATACAGGGTCACAGTGACTCAGAACCAACTTGGTGACACTTACAACACTAACATGGAGTCGATGGCAGTGGGCTTTTGGGTGTCTTCACAAGGGGTCTCATTGGGGTTGAGATATTATAATAGCTCTCTCCCAGCCTAATGAAGAGAAGGCATGTAGTGTGCCTAGGCAGTGTCCAGCATGTGGAAAGACTGCTGTGAAAGGTACTAGAGTTGCTGGTTACTGACATGGACAATCTCCCAGGTTCTTTCCTAACTGATGGCAGAGCTGTATCCACAAAGAGGCTCTACTTAGGCAGATCTAGGGGTGGGGCAAAGGTGTAGTATCTCTTGCTAGGGGCTTGCAGTCTTGATTTCTTCCTTGATTTTCTTGTTAAGTGCCATTGAGTTGGCTTTGACTCATAGTGACCCTGTATAGAGTTTCCAAGGAGTGACTGGTGGGTTTGAACCGCCAACCTTTCGGTTCAAACTGACCTTGTGGCTGAGTGCTTATTATACAGCACCACAGTCACTCAGTTTTCCTGCTGCTGGCTGCAAGGATCCTCTGTTGGCTCTGAGGACCCTCTTGTTCCCATCAATATACTATCTCATGGGCTATCTTGAGGATAGCTGAAAAGTTGCCTGAGTGTCTGGCTAGGGCTCTCCGGGATCTAGACTTGCTGAGTCTATCCCAGTTCTCTCTGCAATCAGCCTGATCTCAGGCTTGACTGCTTTTGCCCTCTGGACAGGAGCCTGAGATCCTGACCTCATTCAGCCCTTGGGGCTGCTTGGCCAGGCACTTCTGGGCTTGTCGTAATCCACCCACAAGCAGCAGGACCCTGCACCAGAGACAGCTGGACAATGGGATGAGGTGACCGTAGTCACACAGGCCAGAACTGAGAGTATTGGGACTTCCCATGCCAACACCACCCCTGGGAAGGCAGTGGTTGTGGGTGAGGCTACAGGATTATTTTGGGAAGTGGGTCAACTTGGTTTAGGAAGGGGAAGGGACCTATGGCTATTAGGGGCTGATACACACAACACTTTTGGACTGGAGGAGGTGAAGGCACCTGGTCAGGCCCAGAAAGGGCAAGCAGCTTACTCCAGGCCACCCTGGAGCCAGTGACATAGTCTGTAGTCTAGTCCTTCCCCCTGCCCAGGATGCTGTGTTGATCTCTGACCTGTGAACCCAAGCTGCTGCCACTGGAACAAGGAAGCTCTAGCGTTAAACCAAATAGATCACTTGTATAGTCAGAGTTCAGAGGCGTGAGTTGAGGAGGCATTGAGTTCACTGATTATGTGACCTTGGGCAGGCAATTTGACCTTTCTGAACTTCTTTCTTCCCAAAGAGATAACAAGAGTAGAGTTGTGATTTTTCAGGGAGATTATCTATTGTAAAATACCTAGGAGAGCTGGCAGCTGTTTTGATTGCTACATTTGTTTATTTGGAGTTTAGGGCAGAGCCTGAGATACATCTTGGCTCATATTGGTTGCTCAATCTCTAAATTTAGGAGTGCCTTAGTCTTTCCTGCCTGAAATGGGAACCCCCATCCACTATCATCAAATCAGTTTTGAATATAGCAACTCTGTTTGGGGAAATCTTTATGGGAGCTGACAGCCTCATCTGTCTCCTGAGGAATGACTGGGTTTGAGCCCTCCACCTTTTGGTTAGCAGCCCAGTGCCTAACCCACAGCACACTACTAGGGCTCCTTTCCTGAAATGGGGTAGGAGGAAAACAGATGAACGTGCTCTGCAGTCTGCAGCCATCACTCTGTTTAAGACCACAACCACAGTGGAGGGTCCCTGGGTAGGAGGATTCCGCAAGGGGGCTCTGTTGGCAGCTCAAACTACCTTCTTTTGGGATGTAGTCCAACTGCCCCATTGGACCAGGGCTACTGGGGGGTGGGACTGAGCTGAGTCTCTGGGGAGGCAGGACTGTTGTTACCCACGTGGGGCTTCATGGCTCCTTGCCTCATGGGGGACCATGACTGCTACTATGGCTGACTATTGGGCACTGCAGAGCCCAGGTTGGCAGGCAGCTCTGGGGGCTTCTCTGAACTAGCTCCCCTGTTCACTTGGGGACTTTCTCCTCCCTGAGGCCTGCCAGCTTTCAGAGAGTAGCTAAGTCTCAGCTATTGTTATTATAAAGGAGTCAAGAGTAAAAATAGAAGGAGCCTTGAGACGTGCCCTAGTGTGGCACTGTAGGATAAGAACTGGACTACTAACTGCAAGGTCATGGTTCAAACCCATCAGCTGTTCCTTAGGAACCGTGTACAAGGTTGCTATGAGTTGGAACCGGTTCAAAGACACTTAATAATTATAACAACCACATGTCCCGGAAGGAGCCCGGGAATACAGTGGGTAAGCACTTGGCTTAATGTCTGTGGCTGGAAACCAGTAGCTCCAAGGGAGAAAAACTTTAGCGATCTGTTTCCATCAAGATTACAGCCTCAGAAACCTGATGGGGCAGTTCTACTGTGTCCTGTATGGTCACTATGAGTCTAAATTGACTCAATGTACACAACAATAGCAACAACACCAGTTCTAATGGAAAAAGGGGAGGAGCTGTATGAAAATGCAGTTTTTCTTATTTCACTCTGGTTTTTGCTATCGCTCAGTGCCTGGTGAATGCCAGGCACCCTGTGGTCATTCGCCCATGGGATTCTCAGTCTAACCCTGTGAGGTTATTGTTAAGGTGCTGGTGAGTTGGTTCCTACTCAGAGCAATGTACAATAGAACAAAACACTGCCCAATCCTGCGCCATCCTTACAATTGTGGTTATGTAAGCCCCTTGTGGGAGCCCTGTATGGCGCTGTGAGTAATGCGCCAGACTGCAAAGCCGTTTGAACTATAAGGTCAGTGGTTCAAGCTCACCAGTCGCTCCTTGGAAACCCTATACAGGGTCGCTATGGGTCAGAACCAACTCGTCGCCACTTAACAACAACAACAAACCCCTTACGACAGCCATATGTCAATCCATCTTGTTGAGGGTCTTCCTCTGTTTTGCATGATGTCCTTTCCTGGAGAAGGCCATGCTGGGTAATCTCCTAATAACTTATCCAAATAGGTACTACTATTCCCATTTGAAGGAGCTCTGGTAG